TGTAGATCCTCCCAAAAGAAACAGTGTTCCCTTCAGCACTGAGCAAAGAAGACATTACTTTGTTGTTATTTTTAATTGATGCTTAGAAAAACAGAAATGAAATGATGAGCTCAAATGAATAAATAAACCAGTAGCACATGGCAATAAAAAAAAAATAGACATGATTTTACCAATAGGAGCTGGAAGCTGTGTGTGTATGTGTAAAATCTAAATCCAGATAGTGTGAGGTCACGTTGGAGCAAAATGAACCAACAGGAAAGGGTTGTTACCCTTTATTTACATCATCTTGTCCCATAATTGAAATTATTTGGCCTCAGCAATTCAAAGAAAATTAAAGAGAATCAAATCATAGGATCCCTGGATGTGCTAACTCCTTGTTCCCACGAAAAGCAAGGAACAAGGTCCTGCCAGACACAAGATCAAAATGCAAATATCCAGATCTCTAGGTCATTGTGTCCCAGTACACAAAAAGGCATGAATATAGTGAGGGCTACATTGAAAAAGAAGAGGAAGAAAAAGAAGGGGGGGTGGAGAGAAGAAAAAGGAGGTGAGGGAAAAGGAAAGGAAAAAGAAGAAAAAGAGCTAGAATGTGAAGGAGCCACACAGGGAAGGGAGAGGAGGACAAACGAAAAACAAGAGCTAGTCCACCCAAATCTAGGCCATTGATTTTAAAATCATCACAAGAAGGCCTTGGTGTTGGATGGAATGTGTGATGGATGCCAAGAAGGAAGGAACCCAGAGGGTTGGGAATGGGCTAATACAGCAATTAGGAGGAAAATGCAGAATTAAATAGTAGAGTTGCAACTTCTTCTCACCCACCTCCAATCCTCAGCCTTATTTATCAGTTGTACATATTAGTGTTTCAAGGAAGGGTTTTTAACTTGAAAACCTGAAGCACCAATCTAGGTCAATCTCACTAGATGTGGGAGAAGTAGAAAGCACAATGTAGAGAAGGGACTGTCACAGCATTGCACCTTAGATAGATGAGAGTGGAGGGATGGGGAAGGAACCATTGTCCTCTGACTCCAGATCACCCTCTCTCCCCACTGGGACCCTCCTTCTTTCCAGATGATCCTCACACATGAAAAGGTGACACATTCTGATCCAGTACTCAGCTCCTTCTGCCTGCTCATTTAAAACATAAGCTGTCCTTCCCGACTGCCCTGATTTGACCAGTTTTACTCCTATTATTCCAATTTCCAACGTGTCTCCAAATCTATCTCTTAGATTTAGATTTAACAGCAATACACCCGAGAGATCAAAAAGCATTGGCTTTTAAACTTAAACTAGCCATTTCTCTAAGGATACAGCTATATAACAGGACAAATAACCACACCAATCTCAGAAGATTATTTTAAATCTTAAATGAGATAATACACACACCAAATGTAGCAGAGTTCCAGCACATAGTAAGTGCATAAAAATGGTTAATTTTCTTATTGTACCTTTCCTTTCTTACAGCCATTATTCTATACCTGGATTACTGCCCAGCATGGTGCTGGCTTCTTTATTTCTCTCTAGCTAACTGACCCAGAACCTCTTTATTCAGGTCCTGCACCAATTTAATTCTACCACCCAAATCTCTAACTTTCTGATGGGTCATCCTTCCCTTCTCTGTGGCACCTTAAATCCATTGGGGAAGAAATCCCTAATACTCTCAAATTTTTCTCTCATTTCATTTTTATGTTTTTCCACATTAGTTCTACCCTGCCTTCCCTAGAATGGAACCATGGTCATAATCTGACAAGGCCTCAAATTTTCCCTCCTTGCAGGAAGGTTAGGAGGAATAAAGACACTGCCCCCAGCCTAAATGAATGACTTTTTGTCTTCTCAAGCTTCACCTTTCACCTCCAAAGGCTCCTCCCTCTATAATTCATGGCTCATTGTGCAACTTAAAAATTTCTATGTAAACAGCTGCCCAAACCTAAGCAACCCACCCATGCCTGATCATTTGACCTCACTTTTCCTCACGTTTTTAAATCCAAAGAACTTTATTTCCACCAATCTTTTATCTGCCTTATATTTGGATACTCCCTGAGGATTACTATCTCAGCCCCACCCCTGAGAAATTAATCTGGCATTTTGCCTACTAGCCATAGCCTCTATAAACAATTGTTCATATTCCCCAAACCTACTACTACTATTAAGTCTACATGTATTCTGAACTTTGACTTCTAAACTCTTAACTACTCACACCTTGCATAGTCTATCAGAACTTTCTTGAACGCTTGACTCTCTTCTGAGCCTATGGCCAGCCTTCTGGCTCCCCTCCAGTCTCTGATGTACACACTCCCTATCCAGAAAGTCACCTTTTTTTCATTTCTTATTCAATGTCATAATATATTTAGGGAAAAATATTCAGCATGGTACTGACTGAACCTGCAAAAAATCTAGTGGTAATTTTGTCTAGTGGCCATTAATTTTCATATCCACAGTTGACTATCTGACAGTATTCCACTGATGTCTGTACCAAACCTCTCCATCCTTCTCCAGCTTCCAGACCAACCCAATTTTTCTACTGCAAAAGGCAACCCCAGAACTTAACAGCCAGAGTCAACCTTACAATGTTGACTGTGCAACTTTAAGGATACAGGTTAAGCTCTGGATGTTTTAATTTCCTCATCTGTAACATAGATATAATATTTACCTCCCAGAGTGGCTTTGAGTATTGAATGAGATTGTATGTATATATAATGTGTGTGTGTGTGTATATATATATATATATGATAATGTGATCTTTAGGACAAGTTACAGTTTTCTGTAATGCTGTAATTAGCCACCCTCCACCATGTATCTTAAATTCCTTCTTTCCTTTGGCTGTAAGACAGGTTCAGTCTATCCTAGACCTTGCTGAAGGCTTAGCTTCTTTCATTCCCCTCCTCTCCTTGACTATTAAATATCTGAAAAAATTATAATGCTATTCTCTACTTCATCCTAATCTCCCTTTGAACCCATTCTCATTCCTCTTTGCTAAATGCATTTTCAAACTGCAACAAAGACACCTCTTCTTGAAACATAATGGCTTTTTCTCAGTATTCATTGTCTCAAACTATCATAGCAACAATAAAACATAATGAACCCTATTATGGCATTTGCTTCTCTTCTTTTCCATTACTGAACTCAAAATAGTCTCCCCCATGAATTAGTATCATGATCTTGTGAAGATTACTTAAATCCTCTGAGTCTCAACTTACTCACTGGTAAAATTAGGGTAATAAAAATTCCTTCCTCAATGAATTGTCCTGAAGATCACATTCCATATTCTAGCTACCATGTATGAAGCTCGAATTATGATCTTGGTACTCTGATACACACACACACGTGTGTGTGTATATATATATACATATATATGTATGTATGTATGTATGTATATATATATATATATATATATCTGCATTCAATACTCAAAGCCATTTGGGGAGGTAAATATTATTTCTATGTTACAGATGAGGAAATCAAAACACCCAGAGTTTAATCTGTATACTTAAAGTCATACAATCAACAATTATTAAAAGCAAGACTTCCAAATAAGACCTTCTGGACGCAATGCCCCTATTAACTACTACATTATATTCCTTCCCAAACAGATGTAAAAGTCAAAATTTTAGGGAACCATGCAATGTCATTTATTATTAGCTTATTATCTTTGCAGATTCTCTGTTTCAGAATGTACTGAAATAAACCCATCAAGCAAAAGACTGGTGGAAGAGTCCACTGCCTTCCTTCAGGTTTTCATGCATATGCCCTCTAGTCCAACAGACAAAAAGCAGCTAATTGGACAATTGTGTTTGGGCAATCCAGTTTACAATCTAATGTCAGCAACCCATAGCAGAGACTTTTGACTGATCATTAATAATAATTACAATCACAATAACAATGACATGCACTGCATTTTAGAACAGACTTTCATGTAGGTGATGCCAGTTCTGTAAATTCTATTGTGGTTAGCAGTAGGTCCCACTTGACAAGGCATGAAACTAAGGCTCTGGGATGGTCTCTGTATTTTTTGACAACTATTTTTCCAGTTCTCTCCCTTCTGGTCTTCAAGGGACAAGATAAGATCACACTGTAACCTCTCTGGTTGAGCCAGGTCACTTGATGCTGAGAGAATGTGACAGTAGTGTCACTTCTGAGGGGAACATATAATGGCTGAAAATGGAAATTCTCAAGAACACATCTTCACTTCACCTTGACAATGAACGATATTCCCAAACTACTCAGCCCACTTGGGATCCATTGAAGGCAATATGGCACCATCTGCTGACAACTGTATGTGGATAGCTTGAGTAAAAAACAAACATATATTAAATGTGGATAGCTTGAGTAAAAAACAAACATATATTAAGTCACAGAAATCTTTAGGTAATATGTTAGCACAGCATAAACAGGTCTCTCTGACTGATACAGGCTCATGGCCCATAAATGACTTACCCAAGGTCACACAGCTAGAAAGTGTCAATGCCTTCTCCAAGTCTCATAAACGCTAAGGTCACTGTTCCTCCCACCAGGTCCCAGCTTGCTTCCTATGTCAATTGCTTCAAAAAGAAACAGTATTTCCCCAGGAGGCAGAATATAAACCTAAGTGTGATCTATCCAATCTGAATCTAATATTCTTTATTTGGTGAAAAAAAAGTTTGATATTTTTACTTATTTCATAACTAGGCCAAGCAGTCGGTAGTTAATCTCTTCTACTACTTGAAGTTGAGAATTCTAAATAACAGTCCCCACCTCTGGTGCAAGCAGGAAAATACTTCTCACCTCAAATAATCAATTTCTCGGTCAGATAATAAGTAGCAATTAAGTGACGAGAACCGCAACACCACCCAGGGTGTGACATTGTGCCTTGAGAACCTCTCAGAGCCAACACTGACTCTCGATGACCTCACAGGAAAGGTGGAGGAACCAAGGACTGGCATATAAACCTAACCCCTTTCCTAGGGTATGGCTGATGTAGCTGGTGTGACAGCCCCGAGAGCCTCTACATCACAGCTGTCTCCACCATGAAGATCATCGGGGGGCTCCTTCTGCTCTGCACAATGACTCATTTCTTCAGCAACTCGGGTGAGTTAAGGGCAGAGAGTGGCCTGTGTAGCCAGTAAGCTTGTCTTCCCAAATAACCCCTTCTCAGGATTGGAGGAAAATGTCTGGGCATGTGGATTTAAAGTGTACTGGCTTATAATACAAACAGCCCTGGCCTGGGAAGGGAGACTCTTACGTACCAACAGGTGTTGGGGGAAGGTGGTTGGGTCCAGTGTTTTCCCTTTCAAGGATTTTTATTTTCATCCATGGAGCCATAGGAAAAAAAAGAACTAATTTCTTCATAGGTCTACCATTCCATAAGGACACTGGAAGTGGCTGGTGTTATTAGATACTATTCCTCAGTGCAAGGACACAGAAAAACTTGGATGCCTCTCCAAATCAATCCAGGGGGACTGAAATAAAACACAATTCTCCAAAGCCCAGCAGTCAACAATTAGACTTTTATATGGTGAAAATTATTTAAATAAATTAAGAGTCTAACACCTTAAGAACATTCCATTCCATTTCTTTGTATCAGTTCAGAGGGGAGAATATCAAAGATGGTGGAACTGCAGGTTCTTAGGAGGGGTGACTGCAATGCTTTCTATTGCTATCTGATTTTGAATCATTATCAAAGACATGATAAACTCCAGAAAATGCCCCATGTCAATAAAGGGAGGAAACCAGTTAATTCTCCTACCTGAATAAAGGGCTTACCTTATTGGCCATTTGGCTTCTTCAGCAAACTGCTGGAGTTTTATATAAGAACAGAGTGTGTACTAAGATTCGTCACCAGAGCAAATACAGAGTCTCAATCCATAGGCCCAAATTAACATTAATTCATGAGACTTTAAGACTTTGCTTTATTTTTAACATTTCCATCTGTAACTCTCTTTCAGAAGCTGCTAGTCTGCCTTTAACAACAGTGAGTATATTGAATTACATTTTAATTTCAATTCCTATTGACTGTCATTTAGTCAACAAAAGGTTTTGAAATATATATGTAGAATTAATTCAGCATGTTTGGGGAGGGGGCAAAGGAGGAAGCGGGCACAGATAAAAAATCTCCTCTTCTTTCCAGAAGGCAGTTGAAGAAATATGACGCATAAGCCTGAATTTCACCCATCTATAAATAGGTGTAACGGTAGAACCTACCCTATTCAGTTGTTATGAATATTAAACAAAAAAAAAATCATGTATAATTTAAGCTTAAAGGCTAGCATGGAAATGCTCAGGAATTATTAACAGCGTATGCTAGTAGTAACAGAGGTGGGGACAGCGGTACTAGTATTTGTCATGGTGATAATATTAGTAATAGAAGCAGCATCAGAATATCTGACCTGGGACTCCTAGGATGGTATTTTGCTTCCTGCCCAACAGAGGCCAGCACAGCTTAGGGCATTCTCTTGTGTCCGTAGCAGGTGGACTGCAGCATTTATAAGAAGTACCCAGTGGTGGCCATCCCCTGCCCCATCACATACCTGCCCGTTTGTGGTTCTGACTACATCACCTATGGGAATGAATGCCACCTATGCATTGAGAACTTGTGAGTACCTCGTGGGAAGAAAAAAGAAGTCACAGCCAGTGTCCTCCACTGCAAACCTCTCCTCTATGAGCTTGTTTCACTCTCCATAAGCTGCGCTGATTCCCACCCAGAAGCAGCTGGTAGAGAGAGAAAACCATCTGTCTCACAGTCAGGCGAGGTTTGGGCCACCTGCTCTGCCAGCTTAAACTAGTTCCATCCATCACCCAACTGCCAATTCCTGTCTCAATTGAGGGAATCCAGTAAGACTAGGAGCCCAGAGGTTCTATAGAGGCAAGGGGGCTAAGGGGATCATCTGGGGGTGATCTCCAACCCCCAAAGTTCAGCTTTTGGCTATTTTAGGTAGTGGAGTTCTACACAGTATCTTGTTAGAAGAAAAGATCTTGACCCCCATAATAAAAAATCATTGAAAACCACTATCCTACATGATTTCTAAGAGAAGTGAGGCCATACTGCTTGATTCTTAGACAAACTGTGGATAGAGCGCCTTCATCCTTCTCAAATTCCTAGGGGCTCTAAATAACTGTAACCTTATGGGGGAAGAGGAGAAGGCTACCACAAAAATTGTTTTCTCTTATCTAAAAGAGGGAGATGCAAGCTGTCAGTGCTTAGACCTGGGCATGTTTTGCTTAAGTATTTTTGTTTGGCCTGTGAACTATTTCTGAAGGCAATATAACTAGGTACTTGTCACTTCTTTAATACAGAACAGGCACCTTAGCATTTCTTACCTTACACTAAGTCCACTTCGTTCATTATTAAGTCTCCCTTAGACCACTGGATTTTGGCCACCCATCTTCGGTCTTGTATTTTTCATCTTTGTGATTATTTAAACAAGTTAGAATATCAGTTTAGGCCCTGAGCTCAGAAGGATATGTCTGCATCTTTATTTCTATTCAGGAACAGGGAAAATTCACAAAAGGGAAGATTCTCTAACATGCACACCCATTGGGCTCTTGGCCTAGAAGCTGGCTTGTGTTCAAGGACACTGAAAGGGACATGTGGTGGCAGTTCTCACTAACGCATGACCCAGCTTCATCACAGGCCTTGCTGGCCAGGAAAGACTGAGGGGCAGGCCACCTCAGCTTCCCATGTCCTCCTCCATTGTTATTGTAGGATATTGGTTGATGGGCCCCGGTTCTGGGATCAGTGGAGGCAGTAGGTATGGTGGAAATATCACTGGACTAGGGAGACTCTGCTTCTGTCTCTGTCAGAAACTGCCTGTGGCAAGGACCTTCCTTTTCAGGGATTCAGTTTCTTCATCTATAACATTAAACTCTGCCTCATAATTTCTATAGTTCCTTTTGGCTCTGACATATAACATTTCCTCTTGTTTAATGAATCTTGTTATGTGTTTTCTCATAGGAAAAGTAATGGAAAAGTTCAGCTTCTTCATGAAGGAAGATGTTAACTTCTCCACAGACATGGGTACGGAGCGATGGTATCTTCACGGTCATTGTCATCATCCCCGGGCTCTGACTGCCTTTTCCCTCATCTTGGCCAGTGCTCTGGTAGGGGCAGAGACAGATTCAGAGTCATCTTTGTTGAGTGGAGAAAGTTGTTGTGGTCTTCCTCAAACTCATGCCTCACTGACTTCGGGCTTCTTTTTGTACCTCAATAAAAGAATCTCCCCAGAGAGTTTATCTTTACTTCTGCTTGTATTTGTTTCTTAGATTGGGATGTAATATCTCAGTTTAAAAATAAAACTGAGGGATATATAAATCTTCTTTACGAGAAAGTTTTGTATGAAGAATGCCAAGTAACTTCCAAGAGACACACACACACACACACATCAGTGAACACCTTACCCTCTCCTGGGGTCTTTACTTTCCTTAATCAGTACCTGCCACTGGGAACTAGTCTATGGACCATACTGGTCCTTTATATTAGTCTCTTTTCCAAAGTTCCTTAGAGGGGCACCTCCTTCATTATAAGAAGTCAACCCTGGGGGGAAGATTTTCCTGCCCATTTCTTTCCATGAGCATTCCATAATTTCCTCCTTTCTTATCTCTCACCTTGCTAACCTCCTGCTGGAGCCTTAATAGAACATCTCTGGCACTGACTACTACATTGCTTGGTCTAACACTTGCCTTCCATAATTGTAAAATGCAGATACCACTATGTACCAAGACAACATTGACCGTACTGGCAAACTGTACATTTGTTTTAAATACAGAGACCTCTAATTCATTCTTAGTGATGAAGGTGGAGTTCCTTCTATAGATGATGCTTATGTGACCACAACACTTTGAGGAAGTCTTCAGTGATAGGCATAGCTCACAAGAAATTAGTGACCCAGATTAGGCCTTGGTATATTTTCATGGTCCTCATTTTCTCCTCCCCATGTTCACTTCTTCCCTCACTTGCTCCAGAACTGTTCTTGGCCCAGAGATTGAAAGAGGATAGTCCTGCCCACCTACAGGCTTCCCTAAAGATACAAGGAAGTCTGTGGAAACCTTATCTCCTCATAGACTCAAGAAGAGAAAGGGAGGGGTGCCTGGGTGGTTCAGTTGGTTAAGCGTCTGCCTTTGGCTCAGGTCATGATCCCAGGGTCCTGGGACCAAACCCTGCATCGGGCTTTCTGCTCAGTGGGGAGCCTGTTTCTCCCTCTCTCCCCCACTCGTGCTCTTTCTCTCTCACTCTCTCTCTATCTCAGATAAAAAAATAAAATCTAAAAAAAAAAAAAAAAGAAGAGAGAGGGAATCCATAGTTATGGTAACTCCATAAAAGTCATATGAAAAGGCTTATAAACAATTGGATCATGCCTGCATTTATATTCTACTGCTAAAGTGTTATATAATCATATAAGTACAGACTCTGTCCCCATGATCATGATGCACCTAACATGGTCTGGATGATTGGGATAAAATATGGGTCTGAATCAGAGTCAAATTCAAAGTCAAGGTCAAGCCAGATCATGGTCAAGTCAACTATGGAAACTGTGAAGAAGAGCAAGGATAGGGAAGTATCTTGGACAAACAAAGCTGCTGAAGTAAAAGTAGCAGATAGGGAGAAGTTGTGATCTGAACAGGGCCTAGAATAGGTGGTCAAATGGTCTTGCTGGCTTAGCCCTCTTCAGTTGCTTGCCACCTTCAGCGGCTCTCACTTCTGGGTTCCAAGCTCCCACCCCTCCTGGTGTGATCCTCTCCTGAGCTGCTCACACCTTCTTGTGTATGTGGAGCATCCCCACGCCTGAGTTGCCCACAACCCCACAGGTTTCTCAGTCTGCTGTACTCTTCTCATCATGCCAATTCCTCCCACCTTCTTAGATCTTCAGCTTCTCTTGTCTTTCCTTTTCTTGGTCTTGATCTACTCCTGCACCTGACACTGTTTGCCCTGTCTTAAACAAACACCTGCATTTTCCCAGTGCTCCTCACTAATCTTTCTTATATATCTTCAGTTGTTTATACCTTCTTAGGAGTCTGATTTCCATATTGCTCCACTTGCTCACCCCTCTCTCCCCTACTGCCTTCAAACTTTTGGCTACCTCAGTCCTTCTCATTCTTCCTCTGATCTCACTCACATCTCCTCAGAAGAACTGAATCCTCAGAAGCTCATTTCTTTGTACAAAAAAGCTCTCTTTCTCCAGGTAGTTGGACTGTGATAAAGGCCATGGCATGGGCATACCCCTACACTGTGAGCCCATCTTCACCCCCAAGTATGTTACAGATGGAAAAACCTACAAAATCCCTGGCAACTGTGCATGAAGATCAGGGAAAGATATCAATGGAAACATGATACAAAATGTGAGCAAAATACACACCTATATAAGAATTCCTGATCATCATGGATGAAAGAGACCCAGTAAACAGCCTCTTTTTATGGATAGAAACTCTGAACTCCCCAAATTGGAAATGCCTCATTGCTCATATGGAAGACGAGGACAAGAACCCAGATCTGCTACTCCCAATCCAGGGCCCAAAAAAGTGTTTTCAGAATTTCATCCATCATATCTCAATACCCTTGGGAATCAAACTCTTTCTACTATGAAATGACCCAGTACATAACATCTGTAAAACACTTAGAGTTCACAAAAGACTTTCATATTCCTGTCTCATTTAATCCTCACACAGCATCCATCATAAGGTAGACATGATCAGCCTAGCTCCTCAGGTGAGACAAAAGAAGCTCCCAGAGGGAAATAATGGGCAGAATTGCAGAACTGTAAATGGTGGATGGTTCTGTTGGCGCTGAGTCTAGCTAGCGTTGGTTCTACACACCACACTGCATAAAGACAATGAGGAAACATCTGGCTTCATTGCAGACCTGAGCAGCCTCAGGTCTTTGGTCCATATTGTATTCAGAGCCCAATACTAGCTGTTGATGACATTTCTCCTTTTCTTCCAACACTCACCACAACTCACCGCCTTAAAGAAGATTTCTAATTTTAGTATATGTGCTGCCGAAGCGAGCACTTAAAGAAGATTTCTGATCTTTCTGAAATTGAAGTCTAGATTTGGCCCACAATTGATACATTCCCAGAATCCTTTTAAAATTTATAAATGATGTTTAAAAATAGTTATTGCTCTTCAAATTTTGGAATTAACCTGTGGTTAAACTGTAGAAGAATGAATTATGGCATACAGAACAGAATGTGCATATTTTTAATGTCTTAAATGTAAAAATAAACATAGAGGTGACAAATCTTTAGAGAGAAAAGTTGACTGAGGGAAGTGTATGGAGGCATGTAAGTTTCTTGTAGGATTATGAGATGTTGCCTAAGGATGAGAATAATAGAAAGTGACCAAGATATATTATTTAAAGTTATAAAGGTAGTGTGCAGAATTTTTGAAAAGTCATGATATACTCATCAAAAATTGGGAAGAACTAAAGGTTGTAAGGTAATACAAATTAACGACTTTCCTTCATAGATGGTAGTCAATAAATAATAAGGTATACTTATACCTCTATTTCTTGATTTCTTAAATATTGAGAATTGTGACGGTAACAACCTTAGAATAGAAATGGTTGAAATTAGCTCCCACCGAAGTGATATTGGCAATGAAGATTTTTGGTTTTCATCATAAGCTTTTAACATCAGTGGAATTTATATACATATTTCTTACTATGGCATATCTATTAATATCTTTTCTTTTCCTTTTTCCCTGCCAGGGAAAGTAAATCTTTGCCACAGGGAAACTGTTAAATCACTATAAATGTAAGTGTAAAGTAGGTTTATTTTTAAATTGTTACCTCTCCAAGTTTAGGCCTTGAAGAAAAAAATGACTTTATTAAGTTTTACTCACTTCTCTATGTATTCATCAGCACTTACTTCCCTGAGGTCTTTGGCATATTCATCATCATTGTCTTCTTTATAAAACTCCACCAAGCAGCTCAAGAGAACACAACAAAACTTGGAACAGGAGACTTGTATGCTTATGCCAACTTGAACATCACCAGGTGTGTAGCTGTAGGTTGGTCATTTACATGTGCAATATCTCTTTGCTTACCGACAAAATCAAATCCCTAATTTAACCTGTATATTGTCAGAGTCAGATGATATATGCATGTGAACATGCTTTATAAACTGTAAAGTCCTACGGAAATGAAAGAGTTGATTAGGATCTGTATGTCCATACTTCTCCAACATTTACCCAGGCCTGAACACATAGACTACATTTTTGTAAATGTGTTTGGTGTGTTGAAGTAAAGGCCCATGATCAGTAAATGTGGGGTTTTTTTTCTTGGTTTGAGAAATGGGAATATTTTAGTTCCTTAGAAATTGATACTAGAAAGTGAAAAGGCAAAAGTATAATTTGAACATGTAAGATTACATGAATTTACTTATATAGTTTGCCCTATTTGAACATGGCCTCACTTAATACCATGAGTAAAACTGTGATGAAAAATGAGATATTCAAATAATCTCAAGGGATCTCATCACAAAATATTTACTAATTTGGAAGGAGAAAGAGTAACAGTAGAGTAGAGAAACATTGCAGACACTAACTGGCACAAGTGGTCAAAATTAGCATAGTTAGTGATGGGGCAAATCAACATCATGGATACTATCTCAAAGTATACAACGCGAAGAATATGGAGTATCTTCTGTATTTCCCTGCCAAAAATGCACAACCTGAATATAGCCACTAGGAAACATGAGACAAACTCAAATTCAGAAACCTTCTATAAAATAACTCATCTACAACTTTCAAAAACCAAGAACAGGCCTTTTAAATATTCTGCATTGAAAGAGACTAAAGAACATGATATTGCATGATTCTGAATGGATCTTTTATTATTGTCATTGTTGTTGTTTGTTGAGAAATATTTCACATACCATAAAACTCAGGGTTTTATTATTTTTTAATTTTTAATTGAATTATAATTAACACACAGCATTATATTAGTTACAAAAATTCTTTTTAAAATGTAAAACTCTAGTCTGCTCACAAAATTGTGCAACCAGTA